TGTCTAACGTTCCTTGCATTTTGTTGAAGACTAAATTTGGTCTTAAAAAGAGATAAGCTAAAATAAAATAACTCATTATGTGTGCAATAATAATCAATGATGTATTAAAATATCAGTCGAATTCTTTGTATGGTGAACTAAATCTTCAGTTTTATTTAAAGTAAAAATTAAAATCATGTTCATTGGTATTATAATACTAAGAGCTGCATGGCATGAAGAAACTATATCTATCATACCCAAATTGTTGGCTTCTTCTTTTTAATTTTAACTGAACCATTCTTTGAAAAAGAAAACTTCATATCTGCGTATGCTTACGATAGATGAATGAGCAGTTTTAGTTGTTTGCCTAAATTTCTACTTAATATATTACATTTCCTATAACATCACTTCAAATCAAGAGTTCAGATATACAATCTATGTATGGATTAATCTAGTAGTCATCAGTAATTTCAGAATATTTAATAGAATCCAAGGTATACTTTCCAAAATATTGCGGTACAAAACTCTACTCGCTCATATAGAAAGGATGCAAAAGTTCAGTTACTCGAAAACTAAATGGATCCAAAACGTTATATATATATACTCTAAAACCTTCAGAAATTCTAGTAGTTAATCAATCTTTCATACATAAAATATTGCATGAGAGTTCTTTATTTCGAACAAACAGGTATTGATACGCTGCCAATTTGTCACTATAATATATTGTAAGCGTATACGTTTCGAAATGTCTTCGCTTGAGTGATATTTATTAGTACTTCCGAATGAAACCAATGCTACGGAAATAATCTGACATGCATTCCGGTGAACAGAGAGATGGACATTTCTTCGTTTAGGTATAATCGATATTACTCTCTCAATGAAAAAATGCCGTTTTTGCTAAAACTCTATGATAAAAACATGAGAACTATTACATAAATTTCCTTTTTCTTTCATCTCTCCCGTTAAGCAACTGCTATTAGACAGGCGTCAACCAGTGATACAAGTAACATCGGAGCAAATATGACGCCTTCAACAATCGCCAGTTTTGTAGTCTCTACTAATTATGGACACGAAACAAAACTCCTATTGCTACAAGACATCACATATATTTGTTGAATCAATATGAAATGTTGTAAACATTAAAAGTAAAAGCATTCTTGTTTGTGGTTGCTACCGTTACTAATGATTTCCACTAGTAAGTTAATTTCAGTCCAATATTCTCTTCGCATATTTTCTCAAGTCGTGCGCGTACGTCATTACCGATTTGATTATTTCCGAGCTTGAGTGTAGTGAGTGTCTATGGAAATGATGAAGTGGAGTGCAGAGAAAGACGAACGAATATTGTTGTTACTTTGTTGATTTGTAGAGCATTGGCAAGATCTTGTGCTCCTTCATCACCGATTTCATTGAATGTGAGGCCGAGTGTGGTTAGTGTCTGTGTGAAAAGTGTGTGTGTGACGAAGTGAACTAAAGAGAAAGGAGAATAAGTATTGTTGTTACTTTGTTGATTTGTAGAGCATTGGCAAGATCTCGTGCTCCTTGATCACCGATTTTATTGTTTGTGAGGTCGAGTAGGGTGAGTGTCTATGTGAGAAGTGTGTGTGTGACGAAGTGAACTAAAGAGAAAGGAGAACAAGTATTGTTGTTACTTTGTTGATTTTTAGAGCACTGGCAAGATCTTGTGCTCCTTCATCACCGATTTCATTGGATCGGAGCTCTAGTGTAATGAGTGTCTGTGTGAAAAGTGTGTCATTGATGAAGTGAAGTGAAGAGAAAAAAGAACAAGTATTGTTGTTACTTTGTTGGTTTGTAGAGCACTGGCAAGATCTTGTGCTCCTTCATCACCGATTCGATTGAAGAGGAGGTCGAGTGTGGTGAGTGTCTGTGTAAAAAGTATGTGAATGATGAAGTGAAGTGAAGAGGGAGAGGATTAAGTATTATTGTTACTTCGTTCTTTTGTAGAGCATTGGCAAGATCGTGTGCTCCTTCATCACCGATATAATTGGAACCGAGTCTGAGTGTTGTGAGTGTCTGTGTGAAAAGTATGTGAAAGATGAAATAATGTTAAGATAAAGAGGAACAAATATTGTTGTTACTTTGTTGATTTGTAGAGCATTGGCAAGATCTTGTGCTCCTTTAGCACCAATATCACTGCTTTCAAGGCCGAGTGTGATGAGTGTCTGTATGAAAAGTGTGTGAATGATGAAGTGAAATGAAGCGAAGAGAAAGAAGAACAAGTATTGTTGTTACTTTGTTGATCCGCAGAGCATCGGCAAGATCTTGTGCACCTTTAGCACTGGTTCTATTGGCTCCGAGGTCGAGTGTGGTGAGTATCTATGTGAAAAGGCAATGAATGATGAAGTGAAGAGGAGAAAGAATAAGTGGTGTTGTTACCTTATTGATTTGTAAAGCATTGGCAAGATCTTGCGCTCCTTTAGCACCGATTGTATTGCAATGAAGGTTGAGTGTGGTGAGTGTCTGTGTGAAAAGTGTGTGAATGATGA